CGAAATTCATAACAAACAACCTTACCATTGCTTGATAAATAAACAAAACAAATTGGGTGATCACGTTCAAAAACATTTATGTAATGTTAGAGTTGGTCCTGAAGAATTATACGGAATATGTATGTGTCTATATATATATATATATATATAATATAACTTTACAAGAGATGTGAATACGTGTTTTTGGACAAATTGTGAAATAAGTGTTGATTGTAGAAATGCTGGAAGGTAAAGAAAGGTAAAACCATACCGTTTATTAGTTTATTTAACACTACATAGCTATTAGTATCGTTACTTAATGATATACCGGAGTTCCTTCAGAATTTCCTTGGTTTACTCAGTATCAGAATTATTATATAGTTTTAATTTTACTATTTTGTGTAAGGAAACAATGTATTTAATCAGTAGAATAAATAGATATACATTTTAGCCAATAAATATTTTCTGTTGAAGAAGAACAAAAATGGCTGCATAATGAGGACGAAAGATAAGTTTGTTTAATTACCAAACTGGGTATCTATCCTTCATCATGTACATGAATTTTATTCATCTATTTTTTTGTCATTACAGGTCTAAATTGATAATAAGAAAACCAACCAATATATATATAGCCGTCAAATTACAAGAAACAAACTTCTTTTTTTCAGTCAGCTATATATATATATATATATGTGTGTGTATGTGTGCGTGTATATATATATATATTGTTTGGATAAGTTCAATTTCGGATCAGTTCATCTAAATAAAATCAATAAATTATATTTTTTTTTCGTAAACTTCTCTAATTTTCTTTTATGATTCTGACTAATTGAACAGCCACAGATAATTTTGAAGGGTTCTTTCATGTTTCGAAATGTCAAAAATATCTGGAAATTAAAACTTGATAAGAAAAAAAGCTCTCTTCAAAGTGGTCCTCTGGTGGGAAAGTGACGTTAAAATCCGGGGTTCAATTTCCCGCGGTTGACACAGCACATAGCCCAATATGGTTTTGCTATAAAACAAACTGTATAAAGTGCGTTATTTGAAAAGTATGTACTTTGTTATGTTATACTTAGCCATACCAAGTTTTCCAACTTGGAAGTGATTTGAAGCAACACAGACATCGTATTGGTATTCTCCAATGAGAGTAATAAACCTATATTTAGCAAAATTCTGATTACTCAGCTAAAATGATCTTGGATAATGACTAAAATTCGAGTTTCGATAATCGTCGCGAACACAGTACAGATAATCCATTATGTAGCTTTGCACCAAAATAATCAAACAAACAATACATCAATGTTTAACGTGAAAAAAAGAAACAAAAGCACCAAACACGTATTAACCATGGAATTATTATATCCGATTTTTGAACATGTTTTTTAAACCATTTCTGAACCAACTTGTTTGTGGGCTGACGACTTTGTTTTTAACACTGTCCCTCTCTCTCTCACACACACACACAAATGTAAACAAAAATGATCTTAATATTGTAATTTTTAATTTTATTAACAACTACTGTAGTTTCATATGTATTTCATAGAGAATGTGAGTTATTTTATTAATTTTTTTTTGGTTAAGTCTACACAGTGGGTGTAGCAACAAGCAAAAACATGAAATTACTCAATATGACACAATATGTTAAATCCAGTAGTAGTGAATAGTGTATTAACTAGTCTGTAATTTGAATATTACAGAAAGTCAATGTATTGTGAATGATCGTGACTTCACATAGAATACAAAACAAAGCAGTCAAAAGAAAACTTCATTTCCATGTATGTGTTAATAAACAGAATCTTTTCCAAGCTGATTTAAACATGGTATTTTACTATACTTGTGTACAACGAACAAAACATTTTATATAAAAAGACACAACACATACCATGAAGCCCCTCAGTGGCACAGCGGCATGTCTGCGGATTTATACTGCTAGAAACTGAATTTCGATACCTGTGGTGGGCAAAGCACAAATCGCCCTTTGTGCAGTTTTGTAGTTAATAACAAATAACAACAACAATATACCATAACGGTTTTAATGTAATCAAAAATACAAGCTATAATATAATTGTGACTCTTAATAACTACAAAAAAGAGAAAAAAAAAATATTGTATTCGAATAAAAGACCAAACCTAAATAGATTCAAGTCTATGTTTTAACTTTTTACTCTTTATGTTTTATTATAGGATAATTTTGTGGAACATGTTTAAATGTATATATATGTGTGTGTGTTTGTACATAATGTTCAATCATATAAAGCATATAAAGCGCCATTTTCGAATTATTATTATTGAACTATGAACATTTTAGACTTTATGCTGCAGGGAGAAATTTTGTTTTAGATATATTTCAACTGAATGCAAACAGAACATGGGACTGAGCGTGTCCCAATTGTCAGCATATCCGGACTGTGAATACGAGGGTTCTTGGCTCGCATCCCTTTACCGCAAATGCTAGTTCCATGCTTTGAGGTTGGGATGCGCTTTAAAAGTGACAGTTAAATCTACCTATTCGGTCCGAAGAGAATAGCCTAAATGTTGGGAACGGGTGTTGTTGGCTGGTGGACTTTACTCTATTCTATCATTAGAAAATTAGGAACGCCTATACGCATACAATCCTTTGAGTGACTTCTTGTGAAAATTTTAAAAATCAAACGAGCAAACAGTTGGAAAGAGGACACCTAACAATTTAAAGGATCAACAGACATGTCTGGGTTGATTTTTAGTACATTATATCAAAATAATTGTGATTCCTCGTTAAAGTCCATGTCTCCACATCTGTTCATGTTATGTCTGACGACCGTGCGCATTGAAAATAGATATGCAGTACAGTTTCGACTGCACAAGGCTCGGTCTTAATGCTGTCTTGTTCAAAGCACACCCCTTCTCCCCGATGGCTTTCCATAATCCATCTAATGTACGAGGATACCAGTTTTCAGCGCCCATTTTAACAGTAGATTACACAGAAATCCAAGAAACTGCGGTATATCTTGGTATGGAATATCACGAATGCCTGTTTCATTCTCTCGCTGCTTGAGGTATGCGTCGGGTGAACGGGAGGTATGATTGTAAACATTATCTTGGTGAATCCATACCTTGTTGGCCTTGATTCCAGACCTGTGTACACGTGCCTTGTATCGCTTTTCAGACGGAGATCCTTTTTTTATTATGTTATGTATTATTGTCATAGGCACGTGGGCGGCTGTTACCATTGATGATTATGTGCGTCTATTTTCACCAACTACAATACACTGCAATTTGTTTAGCACGACTGGGGTACGACGTATTATAGGCCCGTTTCTGGATAGCCTTGATATTTTAATTTATTTCATATTCCTTTGTTTTTAAATGTCATTTAGTACAAAGGGTATCACCGTCTTTGAAATTTTAAATCCCCGATCTTAACACATCTATATGATTTTAATGTATGAAAATCCTGTGTCGAAAAGAGATGTTATACATCCTTCTCAAAAATGATCAATTTTGGGTGAATTCAAGCAAGTTACGAAACGTCAAACAATGTCAAAATTTAATTCTGATACATCTCGTTCCTATGCGACTTCATATTGGTCGTGTTTGTCACTCTCTTTGACTAATTTAAACTCAGAAATGTTAACAAGTTAGATAGCAAAGTGTTTTGAATATATCAGCATCATATATAACCCTAAAGGAATGTATTGATAACTTTTGAAATTGTTAAGAAAGGTTTTTTTATCGTTTATGTAAAAAAAGCAGGTACTTCTGTAATAGTAAGTGACAGTATTGTAAATGTTAGTGAAGAACTTTCCAAATATTATTTAATTGGTAGTGTAAACAATTTGGTCATTCTAACTCTTATGTTTTAGGATTACATACAATGTAATTTGTTTATTTAGAACTCCTTCAAGTACTTAAAACATTTATATATTTTTAAAACCCTGTTATAGAACCTGAAATTCACAAAAGACTATTTCCTGGCGAATTTCTAAAAGTTTTCCATATTTCCGACGGACCTTCCAATCAAAACAGAGGAATAAGATTTCAAAATAGACTGTATCATCTGCACTTTGCCGACCTTCTTCGTGAATTCGAGGAAGATAAAAGACAAATGGATGATTATTTGCAAAGTGTACAAAAACAAGATGAAAGAAGACGAGGACACAGTTTTATTCACTTTGGAAAACGAATAAATGGTATAGTTAAAAAAGAACGCAACAAAGTCATCTTTCAGCAGGGACTACAATCAGAGAATAGTTTATCTGAACCTTTTGAACCACGCAGTGATATAGAGGATACAAGAAAAACAAATCAACAAAATTACGAACATCGATACGTAAATGAGAGAAGATTACACCTTAGAAAATGTCTTATTAGTAAATCTAAGAACAGAGCATATCCTAAGCAGCCGAAGCTCAGAAAACTTAAGAATAACAAACAAATTAGGGGTCACGCTACAATGTCTTTTGAGAAACGGGTGCATAGAATCAAGCATCCTGACCTTTATATCGTACATTTTGGTAAAAGATTTGATGACACAAACCTGCCTTATTATCAAATGATGGACTTTGAAAGTGTTGTAGATGAAGGAAAGCAGCCTCAGCAGCATATTATGTGCTTAAAGAAGCAAAGACCCGATCAGCAGATGATGCGATATAGAAAGAGAATAAAAGAGAAAGAACGAGCTGGCCAAAGCATAATGTACTTGCATAAACAAATTGATAATGACCTTAGGTCCAATAAGCGTATGAAGTTCTTTAGAAAGAGGATGGAAGAGGAAGAGCAACTAGGAGATAGTATGATGTGCTTTGGTAAACAAATGGATGGAAATGATAAACCTGACCATCAAATGATGCTCTTTAAAAAGAGAATTAATGAAGAAGAAAGATCATTCAACAACATGATATACTTTGATGAACACAATGAATATAATAATGAAGGAATGTATTTTCAAAAGAAAATCGAAGGAAGAAAGGAATCAAGCCCTAAGATGATCTATTTTGGGAACAAAATAGAAGACGAAAAACGACCCGATCATCACGTGATGTTTTTTAATAAACAAAAAGATGACAGCAATACATCTAATCATCAGACAATTCACTTTGGAAAGAGAGTCGGTGAAAAAGAGCAATTAAGCCATAAAATAATGCATTTTGGAAAGAGGAAGGAATGAAAAGCGACCTGATCAACATGGAACGTTTTTTGATAGGGAAATGGATGAAAACAGCATACCCAATTATAAAAGTATGCACTATGAAAAAAGAATACATGAAAAAGAGCCATCAGGTCATAAAATGATGTATTTTGGAAAGAGAGCAGAAGAGAAACGACCTGACCACCCCCTGATGTATTTTGCCAAACAAATGAATGACTACAAGACATATAATCATCAAATAATGCATTTTGGTAAAAGACACAAAGAAAGAGAGAATGAAAATGACAATAATTACCTCAGAATAAGATATGGAGACCTGTTTATGAGCAATTTTGAAAAGAATAGTAAAGGTTTGTTTGATAAATTAGCACCAGTTATCGAGAAACAAGTCAACATTGGACCTATTTCTCACAGCCTGTACGATACGGCCTCCAGAATGCGAAGCGTTAAAGTAAATAATGAAATTCAAAAGAGGAACAAGCTAATAAGTGACAATTTCAAGGAAACATTCTCATCCCTGAAGGAACACCAACTGTTCCAATAGAAGTTTTCTCCAAATATAACATAATATCTGACAATTCCAGTGTCAAAAGATGGCTTTTAACAAAACATGATTTGTTCTCCTTTTGTTTAGAAGACTCGCCTGTCCAAGTAGTGACCAAAAATGATCCAAACAGTCCTCGCCTTCACAATTTATTATAACCCCAGAGATGATAAGTGAAAATGGAAAAATGAAATAAATCTATTTCTTAACATATTTCCAAACGATAATAAACCTAAAAAGTTAACTCTTTTGACAAATAATTGACTTGGACACTCCTCGTTAGAGAACCATTCACGATAGAATCATTTCCAATTATTTATTGATATTAAACTGAAATAAACGTATATTTAATTGAAGAGGATGAACATATTTTTATTAGAAAGTTGAGTAGATATAGTTACTGTAAACCTATCAACAGTTTATTGATTGTAAAAAAGTGTATTGGAAATGTGATACCCTTCCTGCAGTAAAATTGTTTCTATTAATGTATAAAAGTTCTGGTTTATTATAGGGAGTGAGGAAAATACAATAAAAAATCCTGACATCATTTGTTGATTTAAATATTCAATATTACTAACATGATATTTCTAGCAAATGTTAAACTTTACGGTTACAAATAGCCCCAACAATTATCTAGGAAAATTCAGAAGCTTTTTCTGGGTGGCCGCCAAAAAATGGGCTGAAAACAAAGATACTGAATGAATTTTAATTCTAAACAAACAATAAGCCGACAAAAAGTATATTGAATTCATTAAATGATACAGTGTATCGAAAGGAGCAATAGAATCAGCTAAAAGAACCTCAAAGCATGCTGCGAGCACTCATCATCCTTTCTATTGATCTATAAACTTTGCTGAATGCTGATTTGACTGCAATTTTCTTGAGCTGTATAACTTCTACAAGAACTAGAAATGCATACGAGCGAAACAAAACCATCTGTTTTACATAGAAACTAATTAAGCTCTCTGACATTTCTCACACAGTGTAGAATAAGCAGGAATATTTCATTTGTGAAAGAAATAAGGAAAATAATAAAAAACATAAAACATATTTTGATTACGGTGTTCATTTCATTAATTGTATCAAACTATCTGCATAAGCTCGTCAGTGTAAAATGTATGGTTGAGATATTTATTTGTACACGACATGCGAAGCACATATAAACACAATGATTATTAAATCTGAAGTATAAGAGTAATACAGGCACTGATATGTTATTCTTAAAGTCAAAAGTATCATACATTTTGGCACCATATGAATTCACTGAAATGACCCACATTATTTATGGGGTACAAAATACCTGGTGGTTTTTATAAAAATATCATATAAAATACATTTAAAAAATAATAGTTAATACTATTCACAAAACTAGCTGAAAAATAACTTCTTCGAACTCATGTTTGTCTCTGTATATTATAAAACACTGACTTACAAGAGTGCATATTCAAAGAACGTACGGAGTTACCGATAAATATATACATGAAATACAAGGCACATTTGGTAATTTGCCATTGCGTATTTATGCAGTGAATTGCTTTATATATATATATACATATACATAAGTCATATACTTTATATAATTTTAAGATCATTTTCATCAAAAAGATTACTATTTCTTGCTAAGAACCTTTAAATGTTCAGATATGATATTTTTATTCAACCTCTGGAATTAAAACTTTGTCCTTATTTGCGTTTCCGAACAATCTGATTAACACTTAACACCGTGAAAAATCAATACTGAAACTTGAAACTGTATTTAATGTATAAAACTGAATTAATACGGTGTTTACGTCAAGAAATCCGTTGACGGTAAGAGCGAAACAGTATTTTCTTTAGTTTTCACCAATAAATGGGACATTGACGTTAAACGTTGATTGTCTGAAACCGAATTATCTGACATATCTAGGGCTATGGTTTTCTTGTCTTGATCTGAAGACAAAGATCCTAGATAAGCCTCAGAGATAAAATATTTTTGCTGAATGTCTGATGTGGGAGATGAACGGTAGTTTGGTAGTAAAACGTCCGTCATATTCATGGATTGTGTTGGTAGCATCGAATTGTAGTAAGCTGCGCCTGCGTCGTTTGAAAGATTTTGGTGAGGGTTATTAGAATATCCAGTATACAGAGAGGTGGAAAACGGTGCAGTCTGGAAGGCGAAGTCGTAAGGAGATGATGCGAACCCCCATGTATCAATAATGGTGTTGTTCAAGAGGGGGAGAGTTGGCGTTGTTGTCGAAAGCATTGTTCCAAAAGTGGAAGCTGAACCTATGAAAATAAAGAGACAATTATGAATAGTTTGATAAACCAATCCTCGTGCTTTTCCGCTTACTTAGTTAACATCATCCAAAGTATAACGACAAAAATTGGATCTACCCCACTGTATTCTATAAGACAATACAATGAACGAAAGGAGCCTCCGGCAATCCGAAATCCCGAAAAGAATCAATAATTCAATAGATTGAAACCTTTACTTAAATTAACCTTGCTTATCAGCTCATGAGTATTCGAATAAATATCTCTGAAAGAAGGTCAAAGGTTAATATTACAGCGTTTTAGTTTTATTTCGATATGATCGAAATGTATAATGATATTGTCAAAACGATCAAACATTTCTAAACGAATATATTCAACATCCTAAACGTTCATAAGTTGAATGTGGAGTTTATATAAATTTTCTCTATTGTATGACCTTAATCCTCAAAGAACAAAAAAGAAAAGTTGATTATAATTTAAAATCGATATGTCATTTATTATGTGCTTGTTCCAAACCTAGAAAATGCATATCTGTTTCAGCAACATTTGTATGTGTTATTTGCGGGGTTTGTTTGTTTTGAAGTTAAGCACAAAGCTACACAATGGGCTATCTGTGCTCTGCCCACCACTGGTATCGAAACCCGGTTTCTAGCGTTGTAAGTCCGCAGACATACCGCTGTGCTACTGGGGGGCTATTTGTCGTGGAGAAAGATCATCCGTTCTAGTCTTCATTCAACTGATATACGGCTTGGCGGATGTTTTATTTGTTTGTTTTTCCATATGATTGTGTTCCCTATTAATGACGAGTGAACGTTTATATAGAAAACACCGATCGTTAGAGGTAGTGGACATCTCATTTTAGTGTATCCAGGACCATAGTGGGAATGTCATAAAACAATTGTTCTGTGTACCTGAGAGCATAGAAAAAAGCCGCGAAAGGTGACAACTTGGTTTCGTTAATGAAAAAATATATTACTCGGCTAATGCTTTTTTTTTATTTGCTTTGACCAGCCTTCAAACGTTCGTGTAAAACGTTTTGCTGCTTTTACCATCATGCTTAGTGTTGTGACGTCGTCTTTCTCCAAACTGCTGTTGTCAGTTAGAAAAAACACAACATAAGAAAAATAATTCTTGAGTACTGCTTAAGGCTCGAAAAGACCTCCTCCAGTCCGAGAGTTGACTATTCGTCACTGCACAACTTATGTGGATTTTTGTTGAGTACATCAGGTTTAACAGCAATGTTACTCAGACCTGCAGTTTTCACGGATTAGACACAGTTTTACATCACTCTTAATGATTAAGTAGTTATGTCTGGGAAGTCAAAAGTGGATGAAATGCTCAGAGAAACTCCATAGAATTTTACAGATTTGGTAACTGTCTATTAATAGCGTAAGGAGGAATCAGTATGTATCGATGTGCAGATCTTATTGTGTATCCCATGGGCTGAATTACCCAACAGCGACATCTATTGGCAGGGTATTTGACCCAATTCCACGAACTTTCTTGGATACAATTGAACCAGATTTTATTTTAATGTAGAATAATTTCCACCTTAACTATTGAAATTGTGATGGAGTATCTAAAACATTAAACCTTCGAACTCATTTTGAATGTAATGAAGGCAGTGGATTGTTGTAATATCCCCTTTGAGAAGCCTTTGTACATCAGTGAAGAAATACATTTCTTGATGTGTATTTGCTTCGAAACAACTTTCAAGCACATTCTGGATGTTATTCGCCCTTGAAATGGAACCAAAAGACCAAACCCAGTCCATAAGAACGTTTTCCAGGTCATTACATCACTTCCAATAGCTTGTTCTGTTGAAACAATACAAACATGGTCAGATATTCATGTGTTTTCTCTGTATTTTACTCTGTCACCATTACAAAAAGAGGAGAAAAGATGGCTCATCAGACTTCCAATAAATACTCTTCCCTTCTTCTCACTCCAAGTACAACTGAAGTCACTTTCTTGTTTGTACTATATATAAGCATTTTAGGGATTGTCTTTCACAGGCTTCTAAGTTAAAGTTTTTGTAATGTTACTCGCATGATGCTCTTGGAGGTAGTTAAATCCCTACCAATGATGCAGGAATTGCTCACTGAGATACAGTCTGACGTCTGTTGCGCTTCAATAGCATGCTCAATCATCTTTTTCTTTATCTGCCGTCAGTGGTTGGTTGTTAGAACTTTAATATTGGAAGACATATTCTATTTTGATAACCATTTTATTCATGGAAACTGGAAGGTATACTTGATCGGCTGGTCTGATAAATGTCTTTGATAACGACTGTCCTGCTGTAGAAGCACCCAATATCACATCCTTTTGAAGAGCAGTGAGATTTCCCCTTTGCCCAGTATCTTAAAAACTGACCATGATATGTAATGGCTGGAGACGGCTTGAATGGGTAATGAAGAAAAACTTTAATATAACAGA